CTGTAATTTTCTTTCTTTGTAGTGTCTTTATCTGGTTTTGGGATTAGGATTATTCTGGCCTCATAAAAAGTGCTTGGGAGGCCCCGCCAGTGTGGCTCAGTGGTTGAGCATTGACCCATGCACCAAGAGGTCACCAGTTTGATTCTCGGTCAGGGCACATGCCCAGTTTGTGTGCCTGATCCCCAGTGGGGGGCATATAGGAAGCAGCCAGTCGATGTCTTTCTCATTGATGTTTCTATCTCTCTCTCCCTCTCCCTCTCCATTCCTCTCTCTGTAAAATCAATAAAGAAAAATAAATAAATAAATAAATAAATAAATAAATAAATAAATAAAAAAGAAGAGCTTGGGAGTCTTCCTTCCTCTTGAATTTTTTGTAATAGTTTGAAAAGTATAGGTGATAATAGTTCTTCTTTGAATTCTTGGTAAAACTCCCCTGTGCAGCCATCCAGACCTGGACTTTTGTTTACTGGAATTTTATTGATTACATGTACTTCTTCTATTTTCTTAATTGTTATTGGTCAGTTTAGGTTTTCTGACTCTTCCCAGTTGAGTTTTGGAATAGTATGTGATTCTAAGAATTTGTACATTTCACCTAGGTTGGCGAATTTGTTGGCATGTAATTTTTCATAGTATTTTCTTATAATCCTTTGTATTTCTGTGGTGTCATTGTTACTTCATCTCTTTTGCTTCTGATTTTATTAATTTGGGTTCTCTCTCTTTGTTTCTTGGTATGTCTGGCTAAAGGTCTATCAATCTTGTTTATCTTTTAAAAGAACCAGCTCTTGGTTTCATTGATCTTTTGTATTATCTTTTTCATCTCTATGTTATTTATTTCTGCTGTGATTTTTATTATTGCCTTCCTTCTACTAACTCTGGATTTTTCTTTTTGTTCTCTTTCTAAATCTTTAAGTTGTTGGGTTAGATAGTTTATTAGAAAAGTTTCTTTTTTCTTGAGGTAGGCCTGTATTGCTATGAATTTCCCTCTCAGAACTGCTTTTGCTGTGTCCCATTGATTTTGTATTGTGTGTTCATTTTCATTAGTTTCCAGGAAGTTTTTTATTTCTTTCTTGATCTCACTGGTAACTTATCCATTGTTTAATAACATGCTTTTTAGCCTCCGTGTATTTGAATGTTTTTGAGTGTTTTTATTGTAATTGATTTCTAGTTTCACTCCATGGTGATCTGAGAAGATGCTTGATATGATTTCAGTCTTCTAGGATATAACCCTGGTAAACATATATGCACCAAATATAGGGGCACCAAAATATATTTAAAAACTTCTTTAGGACTTCAAGGGAGAGATCGATAGCAATACAGTCATAGGGGGTGACTTTAACACCTCACTGACACCACTGGATTGATCTTCTAGACAAAAAATTAGTAAGGAAACAGAGTTCTTAGATCATGAACTAGATCAGTTGGCTTATTGTAGTATACAGAACATTTTACATACAAGCTTACACAATATACATTCTTCTCAATCACATGGTACATTCTCAAGATAAACCACATTTAGAACACAAATAGTCTGAACTGGCGTTTAAATATAGATTGTCCCTCACTGTTTAGCTCAGCAGTTAGAGCATCGCCCATTGACCAAGAGTGTGTTTCGTCTGATGAGGGTACGTACTGGGTTGCAGTTGTCCCCCAGCCTGTTCAGGGTCATGCAATGAGGAACCAATAAATGTTCTGTCTCACATCAATGTTTCCACCCCCCCCCCCCCCACTCTATCTGAAAATGAAAATGGAAAAATATCCTCCGATGAGGATTAAAAAATAATATGTTATACTTTTTATTTCTTTTCTCGTTTGACAGATCCTCCTGCAGTGGCCCCGGAGCCACTGACTGTGCACACTTTCTCTCCTGACCTCCTGACCTCCACATAGGCATCAGTGTGTGCCTGGGGCACCCTAACCTTGCCCTGTCAAACTGAATTTCTTTTCTGTCCTGACTCACTCAAAGTGCTTCCTTATATTCTAAGATTGCACAGAATTTGGCATATAGAAGTGGTTCTGATGCTTTCATGTATAGAGAGCCTGTGGAAACACAGACTGCTTAGGGTTTGGGATTCAGCCTCTAACGCAGTGGGTGATGCCGGAGTTTGGCAGCTGCACCTCCAGAACCATTAGCTCACAGCACTCAATTAGTATTTGTTACATCAACAATTCCCGTGAGTCAGTGCATGGTTAAAATGTGCAATATAGGCTCAAAAGCCAAACTTGTCTCAGTAGGAGTACATGGCAAGACATAGGCATAGAAAGTTTTTCTGAAGGAATAAGGGAGATCATTGGGCCTAACACCTTTCTGTTGAAGATTAGGGAATGGAAGTCCAAAGGGTTGAAATGAATTTTGTAAGGAAAAAGACCTGGGGTGGTAAGTCAACCAACCCTGACTTTTCTCAAAAATAAAATAGTTTCATATGTAATATTTGTATGCAGCTGATTAAGGATTAGTTTCCAACCCCAGAGACAGAGAGCAGAGAATTGTTTTATCTGGGTGAGTAGGCCTTTGCACTGGACATAGATTCCCCCAAATGAATAACACACTGCTAGCAGTTCATGCTGTCTTCCTACCCCTAAGATGCACACAAAGAGCTGAGAAACCAGAGTTCAATGCTCTGGTGAAGATTGAAATCCTCCCCACTCCCAGCAGTGTCTGGGCAAGAAGTTTGTTGAGACATGTAAGCAGAGAAGACTTGTCACCTGCTGGTGCAGAAGAAATGAATCTTGGTTTGCCCAGAACTGAAAGGTCTTTCACCGTTGTAGTCAGCGTCCACTGTCGTGGCCCTTTGGTCTACAGCTGTTTTATTATTTTCCCAAGTTTGGGTATTTGGTGGGACTCACCCGACACCAGACTTGCTCACATGAGGCTTTTCTCTAAAGGCAAAGGAACCGCGTAGGGAGAGACACAGACATGCCTCACAGGCCAGCGCCTTTCCCAGCATGTGCTCCCTGGGGCTGGGCTTCGAGCACCTGGGGAAGCTGTCTCTCTAGCTCCACCCACAGGATCTGTGCGGGGTGTCTTGGTTTGAGGAGAGCTCACCCACAAAGCTCTCCCTAGCTCTTTATCCAGTCAAGCCAGACTCATGAAGCCAAGCAGGCTACTTGTAACTCATCAGTGCAGAAAACTCGGGAGTCTCCCACGGTGTGTACGTGAAATATCCCACTGCCCCCTCTTTGGCTAAGAGTAAAAAGCAGGTACAGAAATGTCTCTAGAAATAAAGATAGAGCTGTTCCAGACCAGCGGCAAATCAACTTCGTTCTGCAGAGTGATCTGCAGAGACAGCCAGGGACGTTGCTTTCCCATGGACCAGCTGAGGGCAGACCCAGCAGACTGAATCCAGGTTCCTAGACATGAGCTGCGAGCAGGCTGATAGGAAGGCACGTGCCTTCGGAGCCCTTTGGGAAACAGCCCAATACTTCTCAAGCACATGCTAGAAGCCACTTGGACACAAGGACCGTGGCAGCATCCGTACCTGGATTCTAAATGCTGAGATTGTAATCTAGTGGCTTCGGATATATAGAGACCTACAGCTTTAAATACATTCAGGGGATAATCTGGTGACCAAATAAATCAAATCTCATGACAAAGTTGTATGTCATTAGGGGGGACTGATCTCTCAAAGGGAACATCCAAACAATGTGAATGTTACATGTAAGGAGAGTGTGTGGGAAGAAACGATTCAGCCGGGTGCTGCTTCTCATTAGCTATGTCTGTTATCAGTCACGATGACAGTTATAATCACACTGAGCATGGGCAGGCGACAGAAGACCTAGAAATGCTAGACAGAGCTCTGTCAGGATGATGTGAGAAAAAAAAAATTTCCATGATAATACCTCAAATGTGTTTTGTTTAAGGGAAGAATCGTAATCCATCGCCTTTATCTGGTTTTATTAGCTAGTATTTTCTTTGTACTCACTTTTATTATCTGTACAATGAAACTAATTTTGAGGGCTTTAATTCATTTCTTTTTCAAAGTGTGGCCTCGTGATCACCTGTTTTTTACTCAGTAAAGGCATATTTCTCAAACTAAAATGTGATAAGTCACCTGGGATCCTTTGAAGATGTAGATTCTGACTTCACAGGTCTGGGATGAAGCCTGAAATTTTCTCCTAAGAAGCTCCCAGCGAGCATTGCTGCTACTCTGCTCTTGTTTGACTAGCAGGAATGTTATTTAAAAATGATAATAATAGGGACCCTGTGTGTGTATGTGAGTGTGGGTGGTGAGTGTGTGTGTAAATTCACAGGGCCACGTACGTCAGGGGAATCGATCTCTGGAATTAAGCCTGAAAATCTGCATTCCCAAGGGGCAGCCCCTCACCTAACTGTATAAACAGTTAAGTTTAAGAACTACTTGGTTAAATGACCTAACTGTCCGAGTTCACATTCTACTATGACGTTAGGGGAATCTAGTCCCACCTTCGTGTTCTCCTAGGTCCTAGGTTGAAGCAGGACACATCCTCAGACTTCACGAGACGTCTGTTCCTTGAGCCTGTGACATGCAGACAGATGCCAAGCCCCTGCCTCTGTTCACCATTCAACTAGGTCTGCTCTTTCCCTGTAAGGTCTAAGATAAAGCCTTTTGTATCATCCAAAGTTACGAGATTCTTTTTCCAAATTAAACCCAAGCTTCTTTTGGAACTCAGCTAAAAATGAAAAGGAAAAAAAAAAATAGCATCACTGTTTTTTTGTTTGTTGTTTTTAATTTAACCTTATCACTGGCTTTTCTGGGGCTACCCCCTACGGTTCACTGTGAATTCCTTTCATGCCTCCTCTCCACAACTCAGCTTATTCCAGGAAAGATTTACATAAATAAATACCTTCTATAGCATGTGATACAGATTAGGGACATTAAAACCTAGTACATGAGTTCTTTCCCCTTAAAGAGATATTTGTTTCTGTTATTGTTATTCAAGTGTTATTGAATACAGCACAAAGTAGGATGGTTCGCATTCAGCCTAACAATGGTTTTTAATTTTCTTTTCTCCTTTCCTTACAGTATAAGCAGGTGGAACAGTACATGTCCTTCCATAAGCTACCGGCCGACATGCGTCAGAAGATCCATGATTACTATGAGCACAGATACCAAGGCAAAATCTTCGATGAGGAAAATATTCTCAACGAGCTCAATGACCCTCTGAGAGAGGTAAGATGTCTAGTCCTGGTCTCCCTGGTGCCTGAGCCGTGTTTGCTCTGCTGCTGGGAAATTCTCAGGTCCATGCTATAACATACTCAACATAAATATTAGAACTAACTGATAAGACATCATTTTGCCCTTATTCTTTCTTATGTTTTCCCATATACATGCTTTTAATTATTAAAAAACGCAGGAAAGTTGTTTTAATTATGATTCCCATAACTGTTTATTTCTATGTCCGTAGTTATTAAAATCCCTTCATGTGTCCTGACTGTCCATCTTCCCAGTATTCCATCCTCTTGTCTCATCCGCCCATAACTATGTCTTTATTTTACTGATTTCCACTCTTCTTCCCTGTTTATCCCCTGGACTCTGCTCACAGACTCGAATAACCTGTTGCAAGTAATTAATTTCTTATAACCTCATTACAACACTTTTTTGCTTTGTGTTTTCTTTCCATCCCTCCCCAGAAATCTCCCTTCTGCCCACTAGAATGTTCTTGTCACCCCCAGACTGAAAGAACATTGTCTTCATTGTTCACATTTCTTGCATTGCTTTGCTCTTTTTCCTTCCTTTTACTACCAACCTTGTCAAAAGATTCCTAATGTAATCACTGATTGAGTTGATCTCTACTTTTTTAACCAAATTGTTCCCTTGAAAGTTATCAATAACCTGTTATTCATCAAAACCTTTGTCTTTGAGCCCTTGTTGGTAACATATAAACTGTTAACAAAACACACATTCTGAATCTTTTGGGGGCAGGAGCGACTTTAACACTGAGCCATAACTGAGCCATTGACTTGACATTCTGCCTTTCTGAATTTATTCTCCTGTATTTATTTCATCTCACAATTCGATTCTGGAATTTGAGCTCCAAGTGCTTGCCATAAGCTCCATTTTCTTAAAGCTTCATGATCTCGCCCAGCCCCGTGCGTATGGTAAGCTATTTCATAAAGTAATGGAACCCTTCAACACTAAACCATTTATCTATTGAAATGTCTCTGTAAATGTTTTAGTCCTTCTCTCAAGTCATTTGGCATATAAATCTTTTATTCGTTTTTGAAACTTTTTCTGCTCTGCACAGTCAGTCGATCACCAAATGCCATCAGTGGTGGTAACCCCTCTTCCTCCCAGACCCTGGCCAGCACCCTAAGCTTCCTCTCACAGGGCCTAGCCATACCGTAGCCAGTTGCTTTCCAGCCTTGGGTCTGTTTTCCGTACTATTTAAAGTTTCATCCATGCCAGAGTCATCTTCTTTCATGAGTACAAGCTGGTCATTTCTCTGCTCTGAAACGTTCAGGCTGCATGACAGATGAAATCACGGGGAGCCACCTTCGGCCCCTCACCTCGCCTCCTGTGCTCAGGGCAGCTGCATCTCCAGCGTCCTTTTCCCGATGTCCTGCGTGTTCCAAAGCAGCCCGGGGCCAAACTGTGCGCTTGCTGTTCTGCAAAAATCCATTATGATTTCTCACCCTTGCATCAGACGTTTCCCAGAAATGCCTCTCGTGTGTTAGCAAAATCCTAAGTACGATTTCTTTCTTTATGCCTCCTTGGGTTTCCAAACTGGATCTGAGTGCTCTTTCCTCTGACTCCCCAAGCAGTCAGTCCATAAATCCGAGGAGCTACTTACCCATTCTATGTTGTCACTATTTTTTTCACAGTTATTTTCTGCACTTTTGTCTTGGAGGTTCCTTAAAGGCAAAGGCCATTTACTTTAACATTTTCTTGAAATTCCTAGTACATGTACTATATATTAAGTACCCAATAAATCTTTTCATTCCAACTAATGGCCTTACCATTTTGAACCATTCTTAATTTTCTGTATCCAAGAAAAGTTATTTATATTTTTTGCTTGTTTATATTTCAAAAGCATTAAGATATCAATTAAGAGTTTGGTCAATAAAAGGAGCTAGATATCTCCTATGTAACTGATTAGCTTATGTTCCCTACAAAGTCCTCCACCAAATAAGAAGGGATAAATCTTTTTGCTTTGGGAAACATAATTTAAACTTGTTGTATTTGAAAACAGTAACATTGTTTGTTTGTTTTTGTTTTAAATCTGTCTGTGTGCTTTGCTTTATCTCTGTTGGAGTACTGGATTCGTATGAAATCCAAGTCCCTTTCACTAAGGGGCAGAACCTCAGGACGCTGGAACCACATTGGGTTGTCAGAGGTCTTTTAGGGTTCCCAGGAGGGGGGGTTCAGGCCCTAGCATGGAGAGATGGGTAATCCAAGAGACAGTATCAGGGATTAAGACAGATCAAAGCACAGGAGAAAACAATAAAAAAGATTTATTGTAAAGACGCAGGAAAAATAAGGATTGCAGAATCAAATGTTATGGACGGACTGCAGAAGGACTATAGAAAAAATGAGCATAAAAATGAACCCTAAACCCTGCTGGTGTGGCTCAGCGGCTGAGCGTCGACCCCTGCACCACGAGGTCACTGGTTCTATTTCCGGTCAGGGCACATGCCCAGGCTGAGGGCCCGATCCCCAGTGGGGGGCGTGCAGGAGGTGGCTAATCAGTGTTCTCTCCCATTGATGTTTCTATCTCTCTCTCCTATCTCATATGTTTTTAGCGGGAACCGAACTCGGGTCTCTCAGGACCGCAGGCCGACGCTCTAACCGCTGAGCTAAACCGGCCAGGGCATATCTCATACATTTTTAAATGAACCCTAAGAATCTGCCTGCTTAAATGTGAAGCATTCCTTTGTGCTAGAAATTCTCAATATATGTAACATCAGGATAACAAGAAAAATGTCCTAACCATGTGTGTTTTATGAATTGCCTTCTCTTGCCATGTTTTCATTCACTCTGATCATCAGTAGAACATATTCCACTTTCTGTTTTTCCCCCATAAAGTCATCCACAGACATCACTCCAGTTTCCTCATTTCCTGTGACTAGTCTGTCATGAAGTTATGACGAACTGTTTTCCTCATATTGTCACATGTCATAGTTCAGGGCCTTGGCCTCTACCTCAGCGCTGAAGGTGCGTTCTCAGCTCTGCCCCCGCCTGACATTTCACCAGGCTCCAATGCATTGCATTTCATGGTCACCTCGTTGACTAATGTAACACTTGTGTTCGAAGAGGTTACTCTCCTCTGATCCAGCTCATTGTCTTTTATCCTCTGCAAGAAAACATCTGAGCTTCTTGACATGGCACATGAGATGCTCCATGGCCCGACCCTGTCTTCATTTCTTTGCCGTGCTTCCAACAGAAAATGGTTGACAATTCGGGGAGTAGGGACGCTGTGGATGGCCTCTTCGCCTTCCTTCATGCTACCCTCTTTATCTTCAATCCTTCCTACTCAGCTTACCTCCTTCTTTCCATGAAACACTCTTACGGGACACAGCCTGCTTCCTACATTGTCCCTGACCACTCTGTCTCTGTCACTATACTTATCATTGTCAGTTGGTTCGTCTCTTTCAAAAGTATGAGTTCCTTGAGTGCAGAGGCTGTGTCTGAATCTATTTGCATCTAGTGACCATCTACAGTAGGAACTCATTAAATATGTACTGAGTGAATGCTTCTAAGAGAATGAAGAATGAAAAACAAGGTTATAATCAAGGCTACTTGATAAAAGCAGAGATCCTAGAAATGGAACCGAGAAATGCTCAAACACGCAACACCGTCGAAAGGTGAGAACAGCGTTCTCCATTTGTTTGCTCTTCGGCCTTCGCTGTTTCTGGCACTGGAATCTCCCCGAAGCCCACGTTTAATGTGACACTGAACGTGGGCCTCATTCACAGGGAAGCTGGATGAGTCGACTAGGGAAAAGGGGACAGCTTTGGCAGAAACATAACAAAGGTTGAATCTAAAGAAGCCACACATGTTTTCCGAAGAAAAAACCAGTGGGAAATATATCTTGCTCCCTAATACATGGGAGTATTATGTACCTGCTCTATTCAAGTCATAGTGGTAAATCACAAGAAATATATTTTAGATACAGAAATACGTTATTCACCTTTCAGAAGCTGCCTTCCACTTGGAAGATGAGGCACGAGCTAGACACAGGTGTATCGTGGTCACTGTTGTGCCTCTGGTGTCGGGAAGTCCATGGCCCCTAGAAGGCATTGAATGATCAATGAGTAAATGTCACATCACTGAAACTAGGACTTCAGAAAGGGAAAGCTGGGTTCTCTGACGCATATTTTGTGACAGAGGTAAAAATATGCAATGTGCTTTGTATACACATGTACATACCACGTACAATTGTTAATCATGTATGTACAATTTTGAGTCAACAACCATCCATCATCTGTTGTAACAAGTCCTTTAACTTAAAATGCTTTTTTATTTTTACTATCTCATTTTTATGAAAGTATTTCACATAATTTCAGATTCTAATGTGTACTTAAGAGCAGCGATTTTTGTTAATACTAGTCTGGGAACTCAGCAATGTATAAAAGTGGATTTTAGGTCAAACCTTCAGACTCTCCAAACCTTATTAAAAAACAAAACTGTTGCTTAAAAATACAAAAAAGTAGAATGTGATGTTTAGGAATGTGAATGTTATTCTATATTCACAATCAGTTACATTCACATTATATTTTATCCATTTTATTCCCCAGCCTTTTTTTTCAATGTGTTTGAAAACTTTTAAATATGAAATGTTTTAGCATATAAAATGGCAGACAGAATTATGAATGTGTGTGACCTTTGGAAGCTCTTACAAAAATCTTATATCGTGCATTTGCAAATTAATTCAGTTAATAGATATCTCAAAAGCACTGCTTTATTGAAAGCATTCTTCTATTTCCATTTCTGTGACAGAAATTAGATGCTTTATCTTTTTCATATGACGGAGACAAATTGCTGAAATGCCCTTCACAAATACCTGGCTCATGCTTAATGCTCAAATCTCAACACAAACGTTGCCTCCTCAAAGAGGCCATCCCTGAGAAGGTCATCTAAACTAATTCCCTGGCCCGCGCTCTCATCACATCAGCCTTTTTCTCGTGCACACATCACTCTGTTGTCTTGTGGTCCCTTCAAAGTTATTTCTG